GGAAAGAGTCTGATTAATTGGATGCTGCATGGTATGTAGTATTAATACAGACTTGAGGTACGAAAAAGATGCCTGATGCAAGAATTTTTCAAAAGAGGGGAAGAAATAGCTAGGAGGCAGGAGGAAGAGGAGACTAACAACACTTCTACAGAAAATTTGATTCAGAGAATATCTTTACAAGATGCATCAGCCACCATATATTGTGTTGAATACTTGTAACAGCTTTCACTAAGGAGACTCTTTCATTGACATTCATTGACAATATTCAACTGTCACAAGTTGTTGCTGCACATTATAAAAAGAGGAGAATCTAGAGAAGGAATTCCTGAGATTAGAAAACTCACTCTAACCACATATGCATGTTTAAGTTAGTGCTCAATATGAACACCTTCACTACTATTTGCAATATTAATCAGCTACCAGCCCTCCAAACGCAAGAGAAGCAGTTATTTGCTTGGTACTGCACCACCTCTGTAAAACATTACAGTATATGCCCATTTAGTTATTACTTGTTCTCGAGCCTTCTCCAGTTGTTGAACAAGGTCCTCCCGTTCATGTGCTGCAAAGTGGCGAGCCCCAACTTCATCATCTCCAAGTCTTTGCTTTGCTATTGTCATTCGAAGGAGCTGCGCTTACAAAAACAGATTCGGTAAGCAAGAGAGCACAGGCTGTAGCATCAGAGTACATCTGCATTAGAAAGAGTAAAGCTGTCATAAATTTCATCTCTTCCAGGCCAAACAGCTGGTATTATTTAAACCAGAGGGAATTTTCTGAGTTGAAGGCTCAATCCTGTTCTCAGTGAAAAATTCCAGTCGAACACTCAAAGCATCAACGGGAGCTGAATTAGACCCTCTAACAATAGTCACCAGAGTATACAAATGATGAAAGACCAAGTAAACACAGATACGTGGTCAACGTTTTTTTAGGAGTGACAGGAACTAATGCCGGCCAGATTAAAACTAGAGAATTCTCAGAAAGCCACTTTCATATATAAATCTTAAAATCTGCTGCAGCAGAGAACTCTTCCTAGTTAAGAATAAAAAGGCATGAAGTGGCTTGCCCAGCTTCATTTTACCGATACGACTTAAAATCCCACTGCGCTACATCAGTGCAGAATTTGCATTAACAGCTGCTAATACATTTGCTTGTGCATTATTTTTTTCAGCTACTCACAAAAGTTAATTCATGTTAAAAATAAAAAACGGGCTAACAACAAAAAAGACTTGGCCAAAATGCTCAGACAGCTAACGAACTCATGAGCTTTGTGACTGCTGAAAACAGTCTGACTTGACTTAATACAGTTATGTTCAATATCCAAAGCAAAAAGCAACTACGTTTCAAGAATCATAGAGTACTAAAATAATAGTCTATAAGGCATTCAGCATTTACAGTTGTTTATACCGAACACAACTAGGCAAAAGTGTTGCCTCCCCGTGGTCTCATTTGTAGGAGCTCCACAGAAGACTACAGAAATCCACCACAATAAGCAGCCTGACTTTCCCCGTATCTTTGACTGCACCAAGGAATTAATGTACATCATTATATTGCAGAGTTAGGAAAAAAATCAATCTTCTGAAGTAGAAGATTGTACATTAAAATCTATCTTTGGTATTTATGGGATGCCAGTCACCATAGCTGCAATGTGCCAATTAAAATCCTGCTGATGCAAGACAGACTATGAAAATCATCCTCCCCACTTATTTCAGCTCCAGTTCAGTGCAAGTTACGGAAGCTAGTACGACTTCTTCTGATAAGTGGTTCACTTGTTCAGGGGAAGCTGTGCCCCCGAAAGTAACTGGTTTTGGCAGACTAAATTTCCCTGTCCCCACAGGGAAAGTACAAACCACTGAACAGTTAGTAAGGCTGAATGGATCCTAGGAGATATAATTCCTATTAATTTCTTTATCAAAACAAATAAGTCAAAAAGGCAACTAGCAAATCCTGGAATAGCTTCACAGCTATGGGACTATTTTTTTTAAATGCTAAAAGGCTGATGAACAAAAGGTATGGTAACATGATTTAATTCAGTTAGATTAATTTAATTTCTAGAATCTCTTGCTAGTGAGAAAGGCAGTAAGAAAAAAATGTAATAACATTTTGAGAACTTAATTGTGCTCAGAAAAACTGGAAACGGGAAAGGGAATCACACTTTACCAATGCCTCCAATGCCTGCAGCAGAGCAGAACTTCTGCGTAATGCTCGGCACCAGGCTGGGAACTGGATCAGAGCTGTGACTCATGCGCTATGACCAACTCTCCTCCAGCCCGGGAGGGGGTGAGGCATAAGATGCAATTATAACTGCAAGCAATTATTACTTGCAAGGTCAAAACAGTCTGCCAATAAAAGGAGAACTCTTTATTTACTATTAATTTTGAGGTGAAAAAAATAGGCATGAAGTCTTATGAAAAGAATGCTTCGGAAATCCAAATTCACCCAGTAAACGCAGCATTATAAACATACATAAAGTAAAGTAAAATACCAATCCATAGAATGACAGAGTGCTCCTTCCAGACAGCTGGCCAATCAGAGAGCTGACAGGGCAGAACAGGCCAAGTCCTTTAATTCTGCATTGCAAACGTCTCATGAGGCAGCACCACCTGCTATAAAATTCTCCCCTGAAAATGCTATGACCCAAAGAGACACTAAGTGTTATGCCAGAGGGTTAGGGGTTTATTTCATATATTAGTGCTTTGTTATAAACTTTATACATCTGCCCTCTGGCTGGTGTATTTTTATTTCTGTCATTCAGAAATCACTGAGGAAAGGACCGCTCAACTTCATTTTGCAGCTAGAGAATAGGTTAACACTACCCCTCGGGACCCTGTGAACAGCATCCACAGCAGAGTGGGCTGAAATTAACGGCATCTTACCAGAGACAGCTCCTGTTTGTCAAGAACCCATAGACTGTTAACTAAAACAATCCAGTGCTGCAAGCCGCTAGTCTTTATTATTTTCATATCACAGCTTTTTCTTCATCAGCGTCAGCTAAAATAATTATTTATAAAGTAGCAACTCAGTAGCAGCCCCACAATGCCCCAAACAGGCTTCACTGCAATAGCTGCTGTGCAGGCTAGGAGTCCACAGACAACGCCTGTGCCGAAGCTGTACATTTCTGATTATCGATAAAACATGCAGAAGGAAAAGGGAAACAAGCACAACCAGTAAATTCCTCATGGAAGGCAGAAACCATCATGTTTAGCCACAGTCACTGACAGCAACTGTCTTCATCACGTTGCCTACAAAATCTCAAAAAGTGGACCAGAACTATGCAAATTTGCTACCTGAAGTCCCAGTTCTGCCAAAACATATGCACCACAATTAACATTCGTGCTGTTGCTGTATGAATGATTGTCTGCCTTATAATAACAAACTGTCAGCAATACCGCAGCCATTGTTTTCCATGCATCTTCCTCTCGCTTAGCACTGCCCTCGACAGCTTACAAAACGATTTCTTTGTGTGGGCAGGAATTCAAGTGAAGGCAACTGAGTCATCTAGTCTTCCAGAAACCTCCAGTTTCTCTTATGCTTTCTATTTTCACCCTTTTACAGGAGAGAATTATATTTCCTAACTATCCGCCTCTAAGTTTCAGTAATTGCTCTCCAAGCATTGTTGCCACAACATTAGGAAGGAAAAAAATTTACAAATAACTATCATAAACATAGAATAGTTTTGATGTGTCAGAGTTGATAAGAGATTGTGATCAATCACAAAAATAAATAGCCTTAGATATCTGTTGCTGGAGCGCTGCAGTCTAGCTATTGCTGTATTTCTGAAACTGCAGCAACAAATCCTTCCAGAGACTGCCTGAAGAAGTTTTATTATTCGTGCCAACAGAATTCTAGCTGAAATTAAAGGAAAAAATTAGGCCAGTTAAACCAAATGCAAGTAATTTGTTATCGCCTAACTGATGACGTACTTAACACGGTTTCAACAACAAGTAAAATGTCACCAGTTTAAGGTCTTGCTAATTCAAGTGACTGTATCCTGCTAGTAGCAAACATTAATGCGGTGAAAAACAAGTCAAGCTATCAAAACAATTCCTTATCAATACAGCTAATGTGTGATATTTAAAGAGTTTTTTTCTTTTTTAGTCCTACAAAGCTCTTGCCACTCGGTGACAAAGCCTGCATGAGTCACCCCTGCTCAGACACAGGCAGAATTGTTCATCCATAAGCAGCTTCACTTGCTGCAAAAGCAGCTGTTTGTTCATCTCTTGCCAGAAGTAAGGTTGACGTAGACCAGCTGGGCAGGATGCCCTCCCTCACTTTGGAAAAAGCAGAATGAAGAATGCAGGGGAAAAATGTAAGAACAAGCAAATTATTATAGTTCTTTGTTTTTGTATATACGATGCATTATCTGGACTCCAGCGCCTGAAGTAACCCAGCTGCCAGTACAGGAGAACTGATGACCAGAACAGAATGGCTTCAGGAACAAGCCTAGAATTTTATCACCAAAGCTAGAAGGGAGCAAGATCTGACACAGGAGGAGAGTGTTAAATCCCTCAGAGAGATGGCAGTGCTTTTTTAGGCACTTCAAAAAACAGCAACCTGACTCTAAAATAAGCTCTATTTCTCATTTACTAGGAAAGTAAAGAATGTGTTCCAAAAATGAAAATCCTACTCTAAATTAATCCCCGTCTGATGCAGTTCTTTCCTCCCCCTCTTCATTTAGTGATGCACCATTTTGCACCTTTTGGAGAGGCGCAGAATAACTCTTTTTGTATTTTTCCATTCCTTATGAGGGTCATGAACTCAAATTCATGCCGAGAATACAGATGTCACAAAGATGACCAGCTAATATCAAGTTAACCCGCAAAGGCAAATCTAAACAAAGCCAGTTCAAGCACAAAGTAGGCAGCTCTGCATTACTGAGATCATATTGTTACAAGGCATTGGAATAAGTACATAACCTTGATATTTAAATACATTGTAGTTGTACTACCTTTGTGTTCCGTTTGTACTAACAAACCCTTGGCATCTGTTCAGGATTGGCTTGGGAAAGGCTGTATGGCATAATATTGGTACTGGAGAACTGCAAGGCACTGCCTTCCACGCTGTAATATAGTTTAAACAACAACATGCAAATGAAAAGAAATACTGGGGAAGCTGGTCTTTGAAGGCTTGAGCAAGTTACACTGAATGCTATGCATACTACAAATTTAGGTCTCACTTGACCCTTTCCCAGCTCCCTGCATACCTTCAAGGAAGTCATTTGTGATAAACAATGAATAAAACTGCATTATCTCAATATATTTATGTTTAAAATAAGTAAAATGAAATGAACTTAAATGGAAAGAAAAAAGCCACTTGAATAATTAAAAGCCACATCATTTTTATTCACATTTTTAAATCCCATAACTTTAAAACTGTAGTTGAGGTAGGGAAGTTATCATTCATTACTTGTTTCATTTTTTACTTCGTTAACCACCTCGACTCTCAAATTCAACCTCTCTCTAGTTTGATCTCTGAATGTACTTCTGCATACAGCTCCAGCTGTGAATGTTACACACATTTGGCTTGAGTTTAAATATTTCAATTAACAGAGACAACAGGAGTTTGATTAATACCAAATGGCAGATTTTGAGCAATGTTCCATATAACTTGCTAAATTTAGCAATAAAATGTATTAGTTATGTAAGGGTAATAGGATGAGGGCTTAATACAAAACTCACTATATATATCTGTGATCACCTGCTCCATATTTTTGAAGGGAAAAAATTATGTGTCCCCTGGTTTTATCATCTACTAAAATTTTGCATTTTCATTGCAAAAATTGAAAATTATCACATGATGAAGAAGAAATGCTTATCTGGACTTATTTGTAAGAGGAAATACCAGAGAGAGAGAGAAAGAGACAAAGAGGGAGAGAGAAAAGGGGGAGAGAGAGAAAAGGGGGAGAGAGAGAAAAGGGGGAGAGAGAGAAGGGGGGGAGAGAGAGCAGGGAGAGAGAAGGGGGAGAGAGAGAGAAGGGGGAGAGAGAGAGAAGGGGGAGAGAGAGAGAAGGGGGAGAGAGAGAGAAGGGGGAGAGAGAGAGAAGGGGGAGAGAGAGAGAAGGGGGAGAGAGAGAGAAGGGGGAGAGAGAGAGAAGGGGGAGAGAGAGAGAAGGGGGAGAGAGAGAGAAAGTAAGTCTGAGACCATTAAAGCAAGGCTAGGTGCAAAATACATAGTAATGACAACAAAGCAAAAGTAGCATTAAAAAAAATATAATAAGCTGCACTTACTGGTATCCTATACAAGCTTACAATTCTTTTTTGAATGTTTTGAGCATTTATTGTAATCCAAGTATTCTAGAAGTTCTGCAACCCATTGTTTTATTTGTTTTCTTGAGAAGTAAATGCAAAACTCCAGCCCAGTTTAAACATTCCATGCCATTTACTGATAACAAAAGTTTATAATACCTTATTGTCCCCTTGTACTTCTCCCAGTCTCTGTTGAAGCTCCCTAATCTCTTCTCCAAGATGTTTATTTCGATCTTGAGCCTCACTCAGTAGTTGAGCAAGATTTGCCTAGAAAAGGAGCAAACAGCAGTCAGAAGTCAGTGCCTATGGAAAGAAGTGCAAGTGGTGATTGAAAAGAAACCCTAGACTTACTCCTTATCTCCCAGTAATATTTACTTTTATTGTTGTTGGTATCCAGACTTCATGCTTCATTAGAGAGATAACAACAAAAGTCACCAAGGTTCCTTTATCTTTAATAGTAGGAAATACATACAGCACGTGTGCATACACAGGCCCAGAACAGCACACAAACCCAAAACAAAACAAAGTGAAAACATCTACGCTAGTTCTGATATCTTGGCTGCTGGGAAGAACAAAACGCAGAGTACTTTGACAATATTTATACAAAGTTGCCAAAATAATAGTTTTAAACTTGCATATAATTAGACAAAAGGCACAGCTGAGAAATAATTATGATATAATTACATTCCCTAATAGTGTTTAGAGCAGATTCCTAGCCAGTAAAGAGGATGCCAGCCAGAGTCCCTGCCCCTATACGGAGTGGTACCATGGATATCTAGTGGCACAAAACTTCAAACATGACCTGACTTGTGGTGTTAGCCAGTACATAGACTTCTACAAAAATAGAAGTGAAAGCTAGAGCTTAAAAACAAACACAACACCTGCCCCCCCGCCCAATAACCCAGGTCAAACGTTACCATTTACATTAACCTACTAGGTTAGCAGGACAAGCAGTCTGGTCTATAATTTTATAATTAAATTCCATCAGCTTAATCACTCATCAAAAAATAATGCAATCTCCTCCTTTCATATCTATGATATCTGAAAATGAGCAAATACTACAGATAAATTTATTTTTCCCCCTAAAAATATCTCACGAATACACAAATGTTGACCCAGCACAGGAAAAGCCTACAAATGACATCTCTTCTAAAAGAGTTAAAATCATAGTGGCTAATGAGCAGCCTTTCACGACAGTGCCTATGGACAGCTAGGTGTGTCATCCATTGCCATAAATCTGAAGGGTATAAAAAGAAACGGAAAAAGAAGTTTCAGATCTTCTAAACATGACTCGGTAAAGCCCCATGAGTCAACATTTCTAAGCTACCCTTACATGTACTCCTTGGGTTTGAGGCCGACGCATCAACTGACCGTTCCCAATTCCCTCTTGGTATTTTAGGTTTAGATTTAGTTTCCCTGCTTGCTGTGCTTCTCTTTCAACTCCCCCATTTCTCCATTTTGATCAATCTCTCTTTTTTTCAGTCCTGCTCTTTTACCCAGTCATTCTCGCTACCACTTGACATCTCATAGGATGTTTTTGTGAGTTTTAGCTCTAAACCTCATACACTATCAAACCAACAAGGCACCTGATAGCCATCCTGTGATCTTTCCCCTTGTTTACTAACAACTGCTATTTCCACTTGTCCTGTTTTATATTTAAGAGAACTATTAACATGAATATAGCTATGCATGCATCTGACCATTTGCAGGATTAGCCCATTAAACTATAATCTTTTGTATGCTACTGTATGAAGAAGCCGGCTCCAAACTCCAATTGGTCTAAAATAGCAATAGCTTCAAACTTTTAAACAGGAAAAGTAACTCGAGAAACTGATACATCCTTCTTGATGAACAACAAGCCTGATTCACTGCTACAGCTTCTGCACTTCTGGTGCTCTGAGATCAAAGGTTCAGAAGAAAGTAATATAAGTTTCCCACATTTTTGGAAGAAAAGAAAGCATTTTTTAAACTACTGATACACCTTGAAGACTGCAAATGCATAATTTGGGAAAAGAGTATAATAGCAAAAAAAATCATAAATAGCCAATTGTAGGGCCAAAATTAAGCTGCCTCTAATTTTATTTTGAAGACAGCAACCATTCAAGCAATGCAAAAGGCTCCTTGAGTATGCTTTGGTAGAATGATTTTTTTTTCTATCCATTAAACAAATGTGTAATAGTCATTCACATATTGAATGAATCAAGGAGCTTCAGAACACATTCAGTCAATGGTTCTGAGAGGTACTTCTTAATGGCTGTTTAAAAGAAAGAAAACAAAGAACCCATGTTTGCAGGAAATTGTATTTAAACTGAAGTATCTATGGCTACTGCTCAGATGCAATTTTTTTTCTTTTTTTAAGAAAACTGACTTTCAATAAAGGCCATCCAACCACCAGACTGAGTTAGTTAAAAGGAACATGATTTGCACAAACCTCTCCGAAACACTTCTATTTATAAAGTCCTTTTTCGTGATGGATTTGAACAACTCCTAACACTGCAATAGCACATGTAATTTCAACACCTGGGAAGAACTCAATATCACTAATCAGTGTTTACAGCCACACCACCAGGATTCTAGCAGTCTGTAGTCAAAACCCGGCTTCCAGTAGCTGCAGGAAAGGCATTACGATGCCTATACTAAATCTTCCTCCTCAGATTTATTTCCTTTAAAATAATTTCTCTGGGATTGCAATTCTATGCTGAATTTTATTTGTCAGTCATATAAATGACTTAATGTGACAAAAACCTTTATACTCGAGACAGGGATTTTGAAAGAAACTTTAAACAAAGAATTTTAGATACCAAAATAAAACAGCCTCATTTAAGCATGCTAAGAGCATTACAATGAGCTAAGTATAGACTTGCTCCTTAATGCAAAGCTTCTATTATACTTCTGTTAAACTAAAACAACCAAGCTATGTCACAGAAGTAGTCTCCAGCAATTATTCATTTCCCTGGCTTAGAGGTTCCATACAACTATAATTTAAATTGTTCCCAGTTTTAAAGGTTTTGGCAAGACCTCATTAAAGCTCTTGGTTAAATGTGAATAGAAGGAGAAAGATTTGATTTTCAAAAGTGCTCTACTGGGCTTTAAAGCGAGCCAGCCAAGAGGATACGTTGAACGACACCTGGACTTGGTACCATTTCTTTGGCATACACAAGAAAACATACCATATGGTTGAAAGATGATAAAACTAACAATGGAGGACTGGCTTCATGAACCTGTAAGCATGTATTTTTTGAAGAAAGGGGAGAAATCTATGCAAGAAGAAAGGCGATTAATTTTTCCACCTGGCAACTTCTTTCCAATATTCGTAGAACAAACACAGAATTCACTTAGAAGTTTAAGACAGGTTACTTCAGTAGACAATAAAGCTCATATCATTTACCTATGCAACACAGAACAACTCTCTGAAAATTAGCCAAATTCAACTTTCTCTAGACTCAATTTCTTCGACAGTTTCTTTTGATTCTAGGTGAAGCCTTAAAAAGGCTCCTGTAACTGCCAGAGACTTCACTTCCTTCACTGACACTATTGAAAACTGACTCCAAAGTACTGAGGAAGAGAGATTTCTGAGCCGTGGGTAACAGAAAGGAAAGTCACAGAGGTCTATACCTTTCTGCTGCCTCATCTTGTCTTGCCTCTGGAACAGCCCCCAACAGTGGAAACTGTTTCTCCTACCTTCTCTCAATGCAACTATTTGTAATACTAAACAACAGATAGTGCTTCATTCAAGTCTCTAATTGACTGCCCAATATCAGACAATCTTTCTGGAGCTCTGTCCACCTCTGATGGCATTCAGTCTCCAGCAGGTATTCTTGAGCCTATGATAGCAGCACGACAAGCTATTTGGTTTATGTCCATCTGTCATGGGGAAGTGTGCGTGTACGATTTGAGCGCAGTCCGAATCCCCATAGACATAAGAAACTGTCCCCACGTTCCTTTTTCCTCTGACCAAAAGCAAGCATGACTATTGACAATGATCCCACCAGAAGGTAGGATGAAAGGTGAAAGAGACTGATGTGACAGTGCTGAGTGGGAAGTGCCTACCTCTATTACATAGGGGAAAAAAAGCACCATAAATCAGAACAGACCAGAGAGTGAAACATTCAATGGGATGGGATCACAGACCTCACCCTTTTCCACTTAGACTTTATTAAAATTTGCAAGAACATTTTTGGGATAGAAGGCAGAAGAGAGCCTTACTTTTAGCTACAGATGAGCATCTGAAACTACGGATGAAAATACCTATAAATGTTTATTAACATAAGCCAGTGAATACCTGTCAGACAGCGACAGATCTTTGCTGACTACTGACCGATGACCCAAGAAGAAGGCGGGGGGGGAAGCAACTCCAAATAGTCATCCCTGGCATTATGCGCTACATTTGATTTTGGCTCCCTTAACAATATTGCAAATCTAGCCACACATACACACAGTGTTATTTTTGTTTACACCACTTTAAAAATGATGGATAGTAACACAGTCTTTAATATAGCTCTCAATTCTCTTGCACATAAATCTTATCTGACACTTAAAAAAAAAAGAATTTAAAAAAAAGGACTTTCTGCCTTTAGATACTGTCTGAAAAAGTAATTTGGCAAGGGGGAAGAGGGACAAACTTCCAACATACCTTTACAGTTTAAAAATATTTTGAAGTACAAACAAGCATTTCTATACTGCAGTTCACAGTCTTTTATTTTCAGCCACACCTTCAAAAAAAAGAACACTGAATTATAGGGCTGACGGGGAAAAAAGTTTGATGAAACATCAAGCACACTTGATGGGTGTGACTGATAGCAAATTTAATTGCAGTTTCTCCTTCAATGCATTCATATGATTGCAATGGCTGAATTAATACAGAAAAACCTGCTTTGCTTACCAACTACCACTATTCACTCCAAGGTAGAAGAACTGATGACCTCCCCTAGCACTAGCTTTCTTACGATAAAAAGCAAAAAATATTGTATTTTTCTCCTTAAGTTGAAAAACCATATAGAAAAGACTCTGAAATTATAGGTCCTGGGCATACTAAGCAAAATACACTTCATACGGGTCATACTTCCCAACAGAAAAACAACAGCAAAAAATCAAAGCCTTGCCAAGCAGTCACTTGACATAGAACAAGAGAAGAAAATCCTCTCTTCCTCTGAGTATATGCTGCCCTGAGAACCAGGCAGGAATCCCACCACAGAAACACACCAGTCAAAACTTGACAAGGCTCTGCAAAACAAGACAGACTCACTCACGCTCACATACCTTCAAGA